AGGAGGCTGGGAGGCAGGAGTAGTTCCTGGGGTTTATTGCAGGGAACTTTAAACATGCTTAGCTGCCTGCTCTTGCTCCAAGGGGAAGAAGGGTTTGTGTGCGGGGAAGGTGTTCAGCTTGCATCAGGATGTAGTGGTTTTAAGCTTCATGGAGCTGAGTCCTGCAAGCAGGATGCTGAGCTACATTGGCTATGTTCGGAGGATGGTAACTGTAGGCCAGCCTGATGGTCAGTGGTGGCTGAGAAGTGCCTCAAGAAGGACATCAGGTCTGCCTAGAATCTGAATCCTCTTCTAGCTTATGAGTTCATAGAATCACAATACCCCAAGTTGGAAGGGACTTGCAAGGATCACCAAGCCCAGCACCACCCAAATCTGGTGTCTGAGAGCAGTGTCCCAATGCTCCTTGAGCTCCAGCACTGGGCCTGTGCCCACCACCCTCTGGGGTAGAATCTGTCCCTAATTCCTATCGGACCCTTCTGCAGCTCTGTGCTGGCCCCAGAGAGCAGAGCTCAGCGCTGCCCTCCACTCCCTGTGAGGAGCTGCAGCCACCATGAAGCCTGCTCTCAGCTCCTCTGCTCTGGGCTGAGCATCCCCAGGGGCCTTCACACTTCTTGCATGCCTTGTCCTCCAGACCCTTCCCCCATCTCTGTAGACTTCTCCATGTTCATGCTGCTTATTCATCAATATGTACCTAAGAGAACTCTTGGTGAATCCTTCCGTGCCTGTGCTTGCAGAGAAGGAAGAAAGACGGGGCAATCTAACCATGACTTTTCTTTCCTTGCCTTTTTCTTCTGCTTGTCCCCTTTATGACCAGGTAGATCACTATTATACAGATGATCATTACCAGCAGGAGATAATCTCAGGAAATATTGTGACAGAAATCCAGGAGGTCACTCCCTGTTCCATTGCCTCTAGGCAGCATCAGCTCTCTTTAACCCATTCCAGCTAGCTTGCCCTTAGAAGCTAGCAGTGCCAGGTATTAAGCATGGTAACACGGAAGTCTCAGTCTTCTACAGGATTGAAAGCTCTGTTATCTAAGCTGTATAAAAAATTACATTTCTTTACCTTTCTACGAACAGATGTACAAAGGGTTGTAGGGATTCTGTGGATCTTTGTGAAGGAGAAGGCAGACTAAGATGGCTGGAAAGCAAGTACTAAATGAAGATGCAGAGCTCAGGCTGCAGGTGAGGATGCATTAGTTCCCTGCACAGCAGCCAGAAGTTCCCTAAAATTTAAAGATCAAGGGAGCTTTATTAATTGAGAATCCAACCTTGTCTCTTTTACATTACTTATTTATAAATGACTCTGCTCTTTAATATCTTAGGGCTGCCACTGAATTGATCAACTGGGAGTGCCCAGCTTGCAACCTCTGCAAAATCACAGCTGATTTCTCCCCAGAGCAGTTCTCTAGCATGCAGAGTTTGTCTTCATTCCTGGTCATCAACAGGGCCCATTGATTTACCACCAGATATCATTGCAGTGGGAATAACTCTCAGCCTATACCCTTCATCTCAGGCAGGCGAGTGAGATTGTGCAGTGTGCATAGGACAGGTGAGGGTCTAAGGAGTGCAATTTGTGGCGTTCTCCCTGCAACTTTTTGTAGAGATAGTAGGTTGGCCACTGCTGGTTGAGTTCTGAAGGGAGGTGGCAGTGCAGAAAGGAAGTCATCAGAGGGATAGAGGGGGCTGCAGACAGAGGGCTGGCAGAGGCCAGGGGCTAGAGCAGGGGGCAGCAGGCTGTGGTTGTGGGCTGCCAGGCAGAAATGAAGAAATGAATATTGGTGTTGAATCAAAGAGCTCCCTGCTTCAATGAGGAGAACCATACTTCACAGAAGGGGGATGAGATTTGTGTGTTGGAAAAGCAAGTAAGAAAGAAATCACTCTGCTAGCTAGAGATGGCTTCTTTCGTCTATGACCTCTGCTGCAAGATACCTGGAAGCACTGATTCTCTCAGAAGAAATTCAGGTGTCTCCTACTGGAGTGAGGTTGCTCTCTACTGCTAGCACTGTTTTAGCATCAGGCGGGATTGCTTCCTTTGCAGCAATTTTGATCCCAGTTTATTTTCCTTCACATCCCTTAGGCCACATTAATGTTTCTCTTCATGCTCAGCTAAGCAGCTGATCGATTCTTCCTGGGGCTTTCCCTGTATTGGTGCAGGCAGGAACTGAGCATCACCCAAAACACAGCAAAAGTCAATTACCACTGCAAGATGCTCAGTTGCCTACAGCCAGAATATTTCCTTTTCCAGCTACTCTGCCTAAAGCCCTGTCACTCTGACAGCAAGTGGTGGTGCCTTATTGCCTCCAAATTAGAAGATCTGAAAGAGGAGAGGATGGAGATGCTGCATCTGGCGTCAGTTCTTCAGCTCTTGCATTCATCCATCTGTGGTCTGGGCAGCCTGAGGAAAATATGTCCCTCATCCTGTGGCTCCAGTGGTTGCTGGGGTGGTTGAGGGGTCATTCCTTTCAACACTAATGTGTCTTCATATGTTGGTAAACATCTCCTCATCAGTTACAGCTTTTGTGATCTTACGCATACACTCGTGTTGCTGTGTTCATGTGCAGGCATGCAGTTATGAAAGCAGATGATTTGTTAAAACCATGATAACACTTCACTTAGGCAGAAGTGATCTGGCAGCCCTACTGAATAGCCTTTAGGATTTCTCAGTCTTAAAAAAGGCTCTTTGTGAGACACAGCCTCTAACCAGGACATCAGATCTAATAATTTTCAGTGGGATTTCTTGAAGTGCCTCAGGTTTGTTAGAAGGACACTTCATTCTTCTTATCCTTAATGATTTAGGCTCCTAAATTATTTAGATGCCTTTGATTGTCTCACTACTAATTCTAGTGAGGACCAAACCAAGATCTCTAACAAGCACTGTGCTGCAGTACCCACTCTTTGCCTCCCAGGAGTGGCTGTGCTGGTTGGGAAGGGAGCTGATTAATTCAGCATCACTCACCTACCAAGAGGTAACCATCCTGAGTGCCTTCCATTGCTTTTCCTCCTGCTCAATGAATGCTCAGCGATGAAAGACTGGAATTTTTGTGCATGGACAAATAGGGAATTCCCACAGTAAAATACCTCTAGTTCAAGAATACCGTGTCCTAGAATGAACTGGGGTCAAAAGCATTCAGTATATGTTCTGGGACTTCAGGTTTAGTATCTCAAGATACATTCTTTAATGCACAGTTTTCTTCTTAAAGACCTAACAAACACTCGTGTGGCTCCCTGCAGTGTTCACAGCTGGGTGCAAACTTAGCCAGCAACGAGGAAATGCAAATCTTTGGCTCAAGCATGTGAGGAAATTACACGTGCTGAACAGTGAAACGTGCATGTTTTGAATAATATTTGTGCCTCTTAAATCCAAGCAGAGAACTTCCCAGAGAAAAGCAGTATGTGCTCCACAGCCTTTCCTGCAAATCATTAACACTACAGCCCTGATGTTACTGTGCTTACTAAAACCACTCAGTGGTGCTGACTGTATCATTGCATCTCCCTTTTACTATTCTTAAAAGAAGAGGCTTAGCCCTCTCCCCAGCTCTGCAAAATCAGTAAGAGGGTCATTGCAGGAATCTGTGCAGTTCTCTCCTAAATGATCTCATGGGGTCAAGCACAAATCAGTATATGGAGTGCTTGACATTTTTACAGCAGGAATGGAGCAGATAGGAGTTTATTTTCTGACAACACTTCCAGAGCACAGGACCTCACTCTGCATTCCAACTGTAGTAAAACAGGAAGCTTTCCAGAGAGCGGCTTTTGCCATCACAATTTTTGGAAAGCGAATGCTTTTCTGAGAACATTGATTATGTTGACTTTGATTATGTTCAAAATGGGAAGAAAGGTTGCAGTGAGTTGTTTTTAATTTGTCATTTTCTTTTAAACAACACCAGCGTGCTCCTGAAAATTTTGGCCTTGACTTCTCTGCAGATGTTAAAAGAAAACAGCATCATAACATCTGGAAGATTGAGCATGCGTAAAAATCCACTGCCATGAAAATGTAGATTTTCCTCCTCAGACCAAAGCAAATGATATTTAACAGCTATGTTAAAGCAGAACCTATTCAAAACGTTCCTTGTTGTGAAAGATAAGTTCAGAATTTCACTCCAATGTGTTCCCAAGTGCAACATGGCTGTGTGGATGGACAGAAGTACTGAAGTTGTTGGACTCCAACCAGTTATGCTGTGGAACCTCTTCCTGCTTGGGGTGGTAGCCTGAAGATGTGTGGTTGGGCTCAGAAACTGCTTCACAGTTACCTAAGAAAAGGTAACTGGAGGCAATTAAACATAGAGGTACTCTGGTTTGAAACTGGGAGTCAAAAATCATGGGCGTTGAGGAGAGTGGTTGGAGAAAGGGAGTGCAAATGTGTTTGTCCTGACCTTGTAATCTCTATCCATCCACAGGTTTTGGGGCTGGCTATCTCAAAATTTTGATGTCTTCATTGCTGTAGGTAGAGGTTACAGGGCATGGGATACATCAAATTGCAAGATCTCTTTTCCTGGTCAGTTCATTTTGGAAGCATTGTGTCTTATTTTCTCATTTTCTAGGACTGATCTGATAAGTTTGTTGAGGTTGGAGATAAGGGATATATTTGCAATGGGAGGTTGTACAGAGGTGCTTTTCTGAGCAGCTAGAGGCTAAGCTCTGTGCTGCTTCCTACTTGGAGTGTCCTGTTGGCTCTCAGTGCCGCCAGTTTGGCCTGCAGGAGTGTTCCTTGGGAACCTTCCACGGTGGTATCTCAGACCCCTGGTCTGAGGGTCTGGTGAGCCCCTGAGAAATACCCACTTATGAAGATAAGATTTCAACTGCTTCTGAAAATGGGTAGAAGAAATTTGGCAGAAGGTAAGGCGTATCTGAAGAGGAGACAGCTGGCGAAATCCTCCTGTTGCCATTTAAAATTCTAGTCACTTTCTTGCTAATGCTTCTGTCCATCATCAAAGTGGAATGGGATCAGAGAGCCATGAAGAGGAAATATTATGTTTTTTTTTTCAGCCCTATATCTGAGCATGAAAGGTAATGGAGAAGCTGTCATGCACCTGCTTTGGCTCCATGTGGTAGATGAGGAGAGTGCTCTTCCTATTATGCACCTGCTGTTTGGGCTGCTCCTTGCAGAGATAACCCCGAATCTGTCAGGTCAGCAGGAGGCTTCTTCCTTCCCTAAGGCATCAATTTAGAGGTCTGAACATCAGGTAGGTGTATGTGATCCTAATGGAAGCATAAACATCTGATCATAGTTTCAACTCTCATCAAGCTTATATGTTTATATACCTTATATCATCTACCTTCTAAGGATGGGACTGAACACTAATTCTTTGAGTAGGTGTTTAGTTTCCTATGAAATTGCATTTAGCAGGTAATATGTGCGTGTACTTGCACATGCAGATTTGTGCATCTCATATCTATACCTTTGAGCCTCATTTCAGCAGAATTAAAAAAAAAATAGTGGGAAATCTCACAGTGTTAGTTTAAAGTAAAGCAACCATGCCAATGCCATCTGAAGGAAAGGATATGATATCTGACTGGGAAATCAAGAAGTCGCTCGAGTGGTAGTTGCCATAGAAGCATCCATGAGAAGAAACTTCCAAACTGAAGCAGTTAATCCTCCATGATAGATTCTCCCACGTGGCCTTTCAGATGCCTTTAGAAACTATCCACACAGCTGGTGAAGACAAGGTAGCTGGTGCTCAAGCTGTTCTTTGTGTGTCTGTAGCTACCAAGCGTGCTTTTGTCCTTTGTCAGAGAATTTGAATCACTCTTGCCCTCTAAGAAGGGGGTTGAGACTTGATCTGATAGGAGATAATATAGGGCCTGTTCACGTAGGGTATTTGGGCCATAGGATTACTGATTATGCCCCAATGCTCTGACAAACATGATATGGCGTGAGAGCTGCCAGCAGTCAAGTAATTACTGCCCTTGCAGAGTACAGCACTTGAGCATTGTGGTATCATTCCTGATGTGACAAGTTCAATCTCTGGAGCATTCAGGCCCTGCAGAGAGGAAAATAATAACTTAGGTTTCTGAGGTCTCACTCGTGTCACAGAGGTGATAGTGTACCTTGAACTCAGCATCTCTGTTCCTCCAGTGGAGCTATGCAGCACAGCATTCTCTCTCAGCCCTTAGAGGGAAATGGGTTATGTGGCAGCATGGTTCATCTGTCCAGTTTTATCTCCTTGTGGGTAACATTAATGGTGCTGTAAAGGTGCCCAGTCAACAATGCCTGTGCAGAGTGGTCACATTTCAGGTACCGTTACCAGTGGTATTGGTTGCTCCAAGATGCCTGTTGGAGTAGAGGACACTGGGCAGCATTGTTCCCACAGAGAGAAACAAAGGCACAAGTTCTGGGTTGGTGGCAACACTGAGTGACAAATGATTGTCAAAATGAATCAGCACAGGGTCTTCAGTTAAGCTGATTTCCACAGGAGTGTAACTACCTCCAACTCTACCTACACGGAGAGAGTGTAACTACCTTCCAGTGAAAGTCTATTAAATCCACCTGAAAAAGACACACTGGTGTTTTTTAATTCAGGCTTCCTCCATCTGTTATGTTAATTTCTTGCCTTCTCTGTTTTAAACTACCAATCAATAGTCTATTCAAAAGCTGGCCTTGGCCCGCAGCGCAAAATTCAGCAAGTGCCAAGTGGGAAGTAAAATATTGCTCATGGACAAAGAGAAAACTGTAACCTGAAGTCTGTTTCCATTGTCTTTCAAGTAGAGAAGCATGGCTCCCTGCAGAGAGTGCATCAGCCCTGGGGTGAACCTTGTTGGTTTCAGCCAACTTCGAGACCTCATCTTAATGGCCACAACAGGAGCAGCTAGGACTGGAGGTCAGCCAGCTCCCATTCCTCTCTTTCCCCTCCCTTGACATGCTACAGATGGTCCTAGGGCTAGACTAAAGATTTTGACATTTACCTGCCACCTAGTGACAGACATGGACAGACAAAGGCAGGTCATTTGCTTCACCTCATGTGTACATGGGCTGATGTTCTGGGTAAGACGTCTGTGCCTGCTTTGCTTCTTGCAGTCCCAAGTTGACTCGGAAGCAAGAGAAGTGAACCAGAGGACTGAGCATGCCTAAATCTCCTGTGGAGAATCTCCAGACTTAACAGGATATGTGTGCCATGTGGGATTATTTGCTGCGCTCAAACCAGCAGTGGAATAATGTTACCTCTGGATTACAAGTCTACTGATGTCACTGCACTCCCAATTGTGTTAAAACTCAGACAAAAGACATACATTCTCTGCCAAAAGGTTCTATCTTGTCCCCATTCATCTCAGTGTCTATTTTCTCAAATTTAGCAACAGAAGTTAAATTATTGAAATCAAATTATTTCATGTCTCTCATTTTTCTGGCAGGCGCATAATGGCTATTGACAATGAGCTGTCGATCAAGTTTTAGAAAGAACCATCAGCAGTAGGCAGGAGAAAGATTCAAGGGATTTCCAGCAAAAGCTGAAAATATCTCTAATGAAAGGCTGAGTGAAATCTTTTCCTAATGAAAGCACCAACTTGTAACCAGAAACTGTGTGCTTTCAGAGTGCCTTAGCCTGGCATTTTTCTTATCATCTCCAGCTGAAAGATGATGTATCTCAGACTCACACTGCAATTTAATTGGTGTCCATATGGCTTTCTGCACAGTGTTTTAGAGGCTGAATTTGAATACATAGTTTCCTCTTGACTGAAAGTGCTTTATATAAAGCAGAAATGTGATGTATTTGAATGATGTTGGCTTCTGATCAGCCCATGCCACGTAGCCTCATGATTTATGTGTTTGACAAGATCAGAATAAAAAAAAGGGAGCAAAATGCTGGCTTGAGTTCCTTTGAGACATAGTCATTTTAAAATATTTAAGGTTATCCAATAATCTCCAATTCTACTTTTACCACTGGATTTAATGAATTAACCTTCAAGGGAAGAAAAGAATTCAGCATGGGGAGAAGAGACACAATTTTGCTGCTAAATGGCAAAAATGTATACAAAACTGAGGGCTGTAAATCAGCTGTCTGGGAAACAGGTTAAACCCTTAAGAGAGTTAATCTATCAAAGTATCTTGCAGATCTTGTTTGTCCTCTTCTCAATTTTGCTGTCTTTTGCACTCTTGCCATCTGAAGGATGCTTTGCCAAGTCAAGATTTAACAGTGCTAAAGACTGCCTGAGAGACTACAATGATTTATATGTCTCTCCTTTTTACTTGCAATTAACTGTGGAGTGTGTTCAACGTGAGTGCCCACTCAGTGTGCCTAGATGATTTGAGTGCCACTACTTAGACAGCAGAATCCAAGAAGGCCATGAAATACTCAGAATATTTCTTTTGCTATCTCTGATATAAAATGTCTGTTAATAAGCCCCTAAATGTTGCTCAGACCTTTTGGTTGCTTTTAATTTTTGACGTGGTATTTTTCCAAGATGTTTTTATGTTTTCAAACATAAATGAAGCACTTAAGAAATGATTTGGAAGAAGGCCCCTTCAACTTTCAAGCGCAAAGTCTGGAACAACCATTATTTGAAACTCATTTTGTTGTAAAGACCTGTGAAAGGATTTAAGGTGAGAGAATTTCAGATCTTGCTTTCTCACACTGTGCTTGGCAAACTAAAAGCTAGGCAAACACAAATGAAATCATTTTGGGCCAAATAAAACATTTTACCGAGAACAGAAGATAATATCTTGTGCCATAAGTATGCTCTGGATTGTGATACAGTTGAGGCTCAGGGAAGTGACCTTGCAGTGGGCTAAGGGGTCTAGAAATACAGCTATGCAACTGTGGTGAAAGTTTAAAAAAAAAAAAAAAGAAAAAAAAATTGGATATAAGTTGAGTTTGGTTGGATGTGTTCCCTCCTGTTTTGGAAAGGACCTGCCTATGCTATCCTGTGCTGCTCTAGCACTGGTAGAGCTGAGCTTGAGCAGACTTTGAGATTCAAGTTTTGGATCCATTCCACAGAAAGAGCTGCTGGAAGGAGGAGAATGAATTGACCTTTCACTCATGTGCTTTCTAGAGAGGAAGTTTGCCCCAGTTCCTAAGCATAGCACAACCACTGCTTCTGCTATCCTTCTGATGGTAGCATCTGGGTGAAGAATTGTTGGCCACCGGATTTTCTGTCAACATTGTACTTCCCAAAATCTAATGCCTATTGTGGATAAAATACTGTAGCAAAAGTTTGGGAGGATGCAGAAAGAGCCTGATTGGTAGGTGGAGGAAGGGCATGGCTGCTTGGTGCAAGCTGGCAAGCCCTGCCAAGAGGCAACCTGGGTTAACAAAGCACAAGAGCAGAGCCAGACTGACATGGCCAGCCAGACTGCAGAGCTGAGCAGGGAAATCCAACGATCCCTCTGAAGGATGTCTCCTGTCGTAGTCGCTGTTTCAGATGTCTTGATGAAAGAGAATATAAAAGAGTAACGTTGCTTCCCAACTAATGCCAGAAATCTCTGCTTTTTCTTTTAAAGCCCTACAGCTCCTATCTGCTCTGCTGTAAGTATCATAGACTCACAGAGTCATTAAGGTTGGAAAAGACCTCTAAGATCACTATGTGCAACCACCAATCCCTCCCCAGCATGCCCAATAGCCCACATGGCTCAGTGCCACATTTCCACATTCCTTGAACACCTCCAGGGATGATGGCTTCCCCACCTCCCTGGGCAGTCTGCGCCAGTGAATCATCTTTCTTTCTGAGGAGAAACGTTTCCTGACATCCAGGCCATCATCTCTCATCCTATCAATATTGCCTGTGAGAAAAGGTCAAACCCCACCTCACTGCAAACTCCTTTCAGACAGTTGCAGAGAGCAATAAGGTGTCCCCTGAACCTCCTCCCAGCTGAAGCATCCCTGTTCCCACAGCCTCTCCGCATAAGATTTGTGCTCTAGACCCTTAATAGATTTGTTGCCCTTCTCTGGACACACCTCAAGGCCTCCCTGTCTTGTAGTGAGGGGCCCAGATGTGGAGTGTATCTTTAAGACCTGAGATCTACCTGGGTCTATACATGAACAGATTGGAGGTGCATAAAAGCTTCACTGTCTCAGGACTGCCCCTTCATTAACTTCAGGTATAGATGTAGAGGTGGCCAGTGCTGGATGGCCAGAGCATACAGCTAGCGTGTTCTATGCAAACATCAGAAAATAAGCAGGCAGTCAGGCTGCAGGAGCAGCCAGAGCTGATGGACCTGCAAACATCGGCCGTCTGAGAGCAGGAGGAAAGGGTAAGCCAAGCTCTCTGGTGAGAAAGAGTTCTTTTGTGGCTGTTTTTGCAGGAAGGTGAGCATTGAAAACTTCAGCAATCTTTGCAAATACTGTATAGTAAAATGCAGCAGCAGCTTTGACTGCCCAAAGTGAAGCTTCATCTCTGTCTTCTGTTTGCTTTGGCTAGAAATGAGGAAAAAAACACCTTTCCTTCTTAAAATCAAATTTATTTTTTAAGCAGCTGTGAAAGTAAGTAGTCTCAAGCAGAAGCTTACTTTTCCTTGCCATGGCAAGTTAAACTTCTGCACATCCTTCTGGCAAACACGTTGTTCTCCAAGCTCAGCCCTTTGCTTTCAAACCCTCTGCCTCTCCTCAGAGCGAAAGGTGCTGTTGCAAGGTATTTCCATGGGCTGCACATCCTGGGCTCTGGTTTTGCAGCAGAGCGTGGCTGCCATTGTCATACAAAACAGAGAAATCCTGTTTCAGGCTCTCCTCACTCCACAGCAATCAGGTAGCACAGAGGGTGCTTCATTAGCAAAGCTGTCCAGATATGTGGCTCTGTGCGGCATGTTGATTATTTGGACTTTCCTTTAATTTCAATTTCACTTTCAGCATCGCCTGCATGGTCACTGCAATGTGGGGAAAGGCATGTGCAGAGTCAGCTGAAATTTCTCCCTGACCTCTTGCAGCAGTGCTGCAAGGGGAGAGAAGGGGAGGAAGTGTGCTGGTTGCCATAGCAATATGCCACTCTGCAAAAACAGGCTTCTTTCATTTTGTCTCCCTTGAGAAAAAGATTTCACCCAGCCATTTCCGGGCAGGGTGGGCACTGTGGGGAAGCATTTAAAATCACTGTTACTCTCTGGCCTCGTTAGCAGGAGTGATGGGAACACTTCAGTCTCCATTTAGGAAAGCAAATGCTTGAACAGGCATGAGATTCATTGCAATACTTTCCTACATGCCCCGCAAATTCCTGCTCACACAGGTCACTGCAACAGTCCTGGAATGGTAAACTCCAAACTTTCATATTTAAGATGTAATATCAGTTTGTTTTGTTTTGTTTTGTTTTTCAAACTCAGAAGTGAAAGAGGAAAAAAAAAGGGGGGGCATCTGGAAATAGAGATTCCAACGGCATCTCTCTAAGATGCTCCAAGAGTAACAAGTTCCCTGATTCCCACTGACACCAGCGAAGGATCTGCTGATCTCAAGTGGAACATCAAATGTCATTGAAATAGAAGTAACTCTTCTATTCCTGTCTCAGTTCTCAGCACATTATCAAAGTCTGGGCCTGGACTCATGCCAGGTCTTGTCAGAAGTAATGAAATGGATATTCTTTGCTTCAAGTTGGGAAGAATTTCTAATGAAAGGAAAGGAAGGAAAGGAAGGAAAAGAAAAATGTCCTGCATTTGTTACAAGTATTTTCTTTAATGACACATTCATGTTACCTCATTTTCATTAATGATATATTCCTCAGCTAGCCTGGCAAATGTTTACTATTGTAGATTTCTCGTACTTTTTTCACCTCAAGTTTCTTTTCCTTCTATCCTATGGGTTGAAAATTGGATGAAGATTAAGGGAAAATAATTTGAAGGCAAGCCAAAGAGAGACAGAAGAACATGACAAGGATTGTGAAAAGGAGGGACCCTCCAGGGCTGGAACACTGAGGAGAAGGCAAAGCAGCAGCAGATTTATGACTACCTGGTGAGAAGACAGTTGGAAGCTGGGCAGCTTTTGGAGAAATCTCCTGCTGATTGTAAGTGAAATAGGAGACAAAGGAACTGAGCAGAAAGGGAAGGCAACAGCAGCCTGAGAGGCTTCTTGGAGTAAAGCTCTGCAGCAATTTTGCAGCTGGAACTTTTTTTCCCCAGAGTGCAAAGTAAATCCATCATTGCCACCACACCATGTAAACTTCTCTTGGCTTTGCCATGATATTCATATCAGAAGGAAAGCAAGGAAGAAGAAAGTTCCCTCTTGGTATTTTGAAATGAAACATTAACTTCAAATTTTTCTCCTTCATTTGTTTTTTTTTTAAAAAGGGAGAAAGAAAATGGTTGATGAACAGAAAAATCTTTTCCCTGTTGATTCAGTGTTTCATTGAAATAACAGAAACACGTTCATGCTTGTTGGAAATACTAAGACCATTCTTGTTGGGGAGAGATCTGAACGCTCTTCTTAATGTTGGATATAGGCCCTGTTAGCAAGGCAGGAGGAAATGTTATGGCCCTCAGTTGCTTGCATTTGGGAAATTGCACTAAAAGCAAAATTTCTAAGATGAGTTTTTGTGGGCTGGTTGTTTTGTGGCAAAATGCAGTATGCATTCCAAGTGGAATTGGGTGAATGAGTGGGAGGAAAGATCCTGAGGGTGGTCAAGCACAGAGATGGCACTTCTGTCTCAGGAAAGATTCTGCTACAGGTCTGGAGGCAAGAGAAATTGGTGGAAAGCATTGCTGCATGTGCATCTGACTACTATCCTTCTTCCTAGTCATTTGTATTCTCAGTGCCAGAGAGTGTGTGCTGCATCAGGTGCACTTCTGGTCTGACCATAAAATCCCTCTTGCATTCTTATTTTAAGCTTTTATGAAGACAGAGAGAACAGGGAGAGAATGACAAGTGATCCATGCAGAGTTTTTACTACTCTGGTTTGTTTTTCTCTAAACACAA